TTTGCAGTATCCTTCCCCTGGAGTGGGAGGAAATGGAGATTTTGCAGTATCCTTCCCCTGGAGTGGGAGGAAATGGAGATTTTGCAATATCCTTCCCCTGGAGTGGGAGGAAATGGAGATTTTGCAGTATCCTTCCCCTGGAGTGGGAGGAAATGGAGATTTTGCAGTATCCTTCCCCTGGAGTGGGGAGGAAATGGAGATTTTGCAATATCCTTCCCCTGGAGTGGGGAGAGAATGGAGATTTTGCAATATCCTTCCCCCTGGAGTGGAGAGGGAATGGGGATTTTGCAGTATCCTTCCCCCTGGAGTGGGGAGGGAATGGAGATTTTGTTGTATCCTTCCCTTAGGAGTGGGGAGGGAATGGAGATTTTGCAGTATCCTTTTCCTGCCATGCCCACCAGGCCACGCCCACAGAACCGGTAGTAAAAAAAATTCAATTTCACCCCTGGAAAAAAACTCATTTAACAATTGTATTGCTTAGCAATGGAAAGTTTGTGCTCAATTGTGGTTATAAGTCGTGGACTACCGATATTATAAAACTAGGAATCGAACCTGAAAACTCTATTTATGCTGTGTCTAACTACGTATATCAGATTTGATCTTGTCTTCATTTCACCCCCTATCGTTTGAGTTAGGCCCGACTCGATGCCTTCCAGTCACTGGAAAATTAAATTGTAACTTTGCATGCTCCTTTTATAAGAAAATGTTACTCTGCTAATAAAGCTATTTTCTCCCATGGTAGCTACAGATTGCCCTATTGCAGGGGTCGTCAAACTCACAATGTCACAGCGGCATCACATGATATATTTGGACTCCACCACCCCCCCTTTGTCAAACTGGACGTGGGCCGGGAGTTTGACAGCCCTGCCCTGTTGTTGCCTGTTGATGGAAATGAAGCCATTTTAAAGCACAGGGTCTCCCTAATACCTTTAGTCATAGAAGCTTCTGACTCAGAAACGGGGTCTGCTTTTTCTTCTCCATTCGACTCATCAACTTCTGTCACAGTTGTTAGCTCAGGTTCACTTTTATAAAGCCGATAATCAGGACCCTAGAAAAGAACCAGACCACAAACATAGATTCATTTTAGCAATAGCAATAGCAGTTAGACTTATATACCGCTTCATAGGGCTTTCAGCCCTCTCTAAGCGGTTTACAGAGTCAGCATATCGCCCCCACAGTCTGGGTC